GTCTCTAGTTTAAAAGTCTCAAACTCTTAGTGTATTTGTAAAAATAAAGACAATCATGCACAAAACATGAGTTAGTAATTTCTTGTGAATTCTGCTACCTTCACGGGATTAAAAAGATAAACTTGGTTTAGTCAGTGCAATGGTGTACAACTTTGCCAAGAGAAGCCTCCAACACCAATGGGTCTCCATAAAATGTTTTTTAAGTTGCTTATAAGCACCTTTTTCACTAGCTTCACCAATTTTTGTTTTTTTATTAAATAGCTTATTCTGATAACATTATTCTTTTCTTTCTCATTTCATATTCGAATCTAAAATTTATAACGTATAATAGTAACTCAATAAGTAACAACCTTCATCCCTTGTCAAGGAGCTTTTAACCATTCATTGTTGCAAAAAGCTTGTCTAGGCAGTGCTTTATGGCCTCGTTTAGGCCCTAGGTGTGATTGTTCCATATTTTGAAATTTTTTGTTCTATTTTGACTTTCTTTGCTAAAAAATAAAAACCACTTAGATACTAGGCATTGACCCAACACCCACCACCTCTAGCACATTCTGCAACCTTGCAACCGTTTATACATTGTCTAAAAGATAAGTCTTGATTGAGAAGAGCAGGAAGACTGCAACTTCTCTCCAATTTCATTTTCTTTACAAACCATTTTTTTTCAAATAGCAGAATCACATACTTAAGGGAGAACAAATAATAACGAGATGACCAAATATGTACAACCAAATAATTTATTACTGTGAAATAGGATAGTCTTAACCATGGAGAGACAAATATGGAGACCAGGAAAAAGAATAAAAAACATGGAGAGACAATTACTTCAATTATAAAGCTAGACGATCATCAAACACCTTAGACACCAGTCTTTAGGCCTTCCTCAGAGTCATCAAAGTGATCCTCCCGAGCATTGTCAGCCAACATCAGTGAAACTAACCAGAAGAGAGCTGAATCAAGCGATACAAAAGCACCCCCACCCAGGAGGCCAGTCTTCGCTGTAGGACAATCTGTGTTCAGGTTATGATGAACATTGCCGGACAAGTGAAGCTGCTCCGTGATTGTTGGCCACAAAAGCAGAGTCAAAGCCAAACCAGAACTAAACCTGTAACAAGTTACATACAAACATGAAAACATACCCTGAAAAAAACCCATCTTTCGTAATCAATAAAGCCCCCATTTTTCTCTTTGTAGTACAATAAAATTCCATGGAGGATAACAAGATTTTGAAGTTGTAAGATGTGCTTACAAGGCAACGTTGAAGAAGACAGCGAAACTGGTGCTTCGGAAGAGAACGGATTGCGGCACAGATTTCCCTTTGTAAGGGTAGAACAGAGAATAACAGCCGGTGACGGTTGTCGCCACCAGGAATACAACCGACAGAGACCCCAGAGCGACGGTCGGATCGGCAGGATAGTTACAAATAACCACATCTTTCCCCGTAATTGGAGTTCCAGAAGCAGGCTGGGAAAAAACAACACAAGAGAAGATTAAATAAAAAAAAAAAAAAAACCCTAAACTCCAACGAACAAAAACAATCCAGAAAAATTCGGCGGTATTACCTTCTTGTTCTCGGCGATTATTCCAAGGATGAAGGAAAGAAGGCCGAAAAAGGCCACGATTAGAGACATTTGCTTCATGCTCAGAGCCATTCTCTCCGATCAAGATTGAGTTTTCTTTAAAATCAAATTCACATGAACAAAAACATTCAAATTGAAGGGGGTAAACTGAAATGCAGAAAATTAATCTAAATTCTAAAATCTAAAATCCGAAATACAAAAATGAAATTGAGGCAGAGAGAGAGAATGGTACCTTTAGCTGCGGCTGTGGAACTGGAATGGAATGAATTCAGGGAAGAAGATGGGAAAAATGAGAGAATCAAATTACGTTAAAGGAGGAGGTAGAGTTTGTATAGATAGGGATGGGAATGAAGACGCAGATATGATACAGATTCCAATCCGAGTCCTGCACGCTGGAATCTCTCCGGATTCCTTGTATGGTATTCTCCTTAATTAATTGAAATTACATTTTTACCCTTGGCAGGCAGCACTCGTTATGGCAAAAGGTGCAGAACACCCCCTAAACTCAACAACTGGTGGCAAATCACCCCCTCAACCCACTTCACGCGCAAATCAACCCCTCAACTCACCTGCAGTGGCAAATCAGCCCCTCTCTTAACGTTTACGTTAACATTTAACATTCCGTTCATCAGCCCTTCTTTGTGTCTGACGTGGCCTTTTTTTTGGCTGAGATGGATGCTGAGGTGGAGGCACACCTGGACAAATCACCTCAAAATCAGTAGATTAAACACAATTCTTGGCGGGATGGCGGATGGTTTGCAAAATCCCTAAAGCGCAAGAAATTGGGACTTTTTCTAGAGTTAACAAAAAGATTACAAGTCTGATCTAGAAGGCAAAACTGTAAAGACCCATAGAAAGTACACAGACAAATGCTTTTGAAGAATTAAATCTCCACGAAATATTCTTACCCAGATGAAATTGGTGACCACATTGAAGCTTGGCCCAAGATCGATCCCCATTATCGGCGACCGTCTCAAAGCAAATCAAACAAGAAACCGAACCAAAAAACTTGCCCCCATTTCCACGATCAGCACCACTGCCATCCCCATCGTCACCTACCAAATCATCACCATCGTTAATCCCCAACCCCATAATTAAGCAATTAAATTAACACCTCAGCACCAGAGAGGTTCAACTCAACACCCTAATTTCCCATAAACGACGGTGTTCCAATCTCCTTCTTCTTGTTCTCTCTCTCTCACAGGTAACTATCAGAACGAAGTTTGATCAGAACCGACGAAAATCGGAGAACTGACACGTCGCGGAAAAATCTAGGAATACCCTTTTGAGCAGAAAGCAACGGAGAATTAAAGGGGAAGAAAATTGGGTTGGGATGACGAAGAAAAAGCAAAAACGAAGATGAAAAATCTGTCTAACCTTCTGTTTGTTTGGGGTTTCTCTTTCTTCCAAAGAGAATTGGGGACCGTTAGATTTTGAGGAGTTGAATACTGTTATGTATGAGACTGGATAACCTCAAAATATGGTAATTTGACAGAAGATTCAAAGCTTGACGAAGAACCCCATGCTCGATGAATTGCAGATCTGGCTAAAAAAGGTTCAAGTTTTGAAAGAACGAAGCGGGGAAGAAGACAAAGACGATAGAAGCTGATCCCTAAATCCCCAATTTTATTCCCTAAACAATTTAAGGGTATAAAAGTAATTTTCATTTAATCTGCTGATTTGTCCAGTATGCCCTCCACCTCAGCATCCATCTCAACCAAAAAAAGCCATGTCAGACACAGAGAAAGAGCTGATGAACGAAATGTTAAATGTTAACGGAAATGTTAAGAGAGGAGCTGATTTGCCACTGCAGTTGAGTTGAGGGGTTGATTTGCGCGTGAAGTAGGTTGAGGGGGTGATTTGCCACTAGTTGTTGAGTTTAGGGGGTGATCTGCACCTTTTGCCACTCGTTATCACACCTGTAAGTACACATTCGACAATGACCTTCCTTTTTTTTTTTTAATTAATTTTTGTTAAGATAATTATTTTTTATTCTTTATTTTATTCTCACCAA